TAACATTTCCCCTGTTTTTATAAGGGACCCAAACCCAGAGACTCTACTGTACATGCTCTCCTGATTCACTGTGCTCTGAATGGGGGAAAATAACCTGTTCCTTTGTGATGTTTCTACTTATTTTCATTAACTTATTTATAAGAAACAGCTCAAAATGTCCAGAACTGCACCAGCCTCATGAAAGAAATATCAAAGTCTCTGTTTTATATGTGATATCTGACATGTAGAATGATTTGACTAATAAGTTAATTTGTTTGTCTGTTTGTCCTGACATTTGTCTGTTGCATCAGTCCTGGGCTGAAGGCGCTGTGTAAAAGGATGCTTCTGTGTTTGTCTAGAAGTATTCTCAGTAAAGAATTATAATTACACCTTTAGTGCTAGATAAGAAATGCTCACACAGAGGGTTTGCTGGTCTTCACACTGATGGCTTATAAATCAGTTTATTTAAGAAAGAAATTCAACATGGATTGTAAGTGTTTTCTGAGAAAATTCCCTCAGAATAATCAGGGGTTTTTTTTGGAGGAGGAGCAGCAATGGAAGTCAATCACAGCAAATTTACTGACTGTTTTCAGTGGTGAACATTTAGATTTATTTTTAACTTTTTAAGGATCTGTAGTTTAGCCCAATCATCCTGTTTCATTCACCACCTGGTATTTTTTGCAGCCAATGACCAACCAAGTGTCTTTGTAATCAAAGTTTAATATACTGTAAGACTGTATGAAAGGGTCAGTTGTTCAGTTTAGATCCTGCCTCTTATGTGATATGATCCATATAAAAGGAACAGGAGCCTGATTCTGTGTGTGTTCTCTGTCTAACCCTAACACCAGCAGGTTTTCAAGGCATATTTAGACCCCTGTACATTTGCCTGGTTTGAATATTCATGCACACCAGTGGTGGAAAGTAACTATGTAGATTTCCTGAAGTATTATACAGTTTTGAGGTATCTTTACCAGAGTATTTTCATTTTCTGCTACTTTGTACTTAAGCTTCACTACATTTTAAAGGTAAATATTGTACTTTTTGCTCCACTACATTTATTTAAAGTTTAGTTACTAGTTACTTTTCAAAACCAGATTGTTTAAAAAAACTAATCATTTTATTTTATTGATTTCTGGTAGAAAATTCACAAGCTGTCCAGTAGTAATTCAAATTCTAAGCATATAGGCTATGTAGATAGTTAAAACTAGCTCCCTCTTTACCAGCTGCAACATTAAACCGGTGAACACAATAATACATCAATCATTATAGTCTAATATTATGTACATTGTTAAATGCACCATTCTGTACTTTTCTTTTTAGTACTTTAGTAGTTTTGATGCTAATACTTTTTTACTTTTACTTACCATTTTGAATGCAGCACTTTATTATCAGTATTTTTACACTGTACTATTGTTACTTTTATTTAAGTATTGGATCTGAGTACATCTTCCACCGCTGATGTACACATACACTAGAAGCCCCTTCTATTAAACAGTAATAAGTGGACTTTCACTTGGAAGTCAGAGGTGTTCAGCTCTGACCTCAGGCACCTGTTTTCTACTGTGCATCAGAAGGAAATCCCTTATGCTTCACTGCCTGGTACAGCAGTGTGTGAGAGAATGGAATGCACAGCATGTTGCAACACGTTTCCCTAAACAATTGTCTTTTTCTCATTCGTCACTACTGTACAGAAAGCCTGTGCTGGCCCTAATCCTAATCATAAAACCAGTCACACACCATCTACTGTCGCTGTAAGCTGATTTCAGAGCAGCTGGACAGTATGATTTCGAGGATCAGTGAATGGCAGATTATGAAGTCTAATCCTTAGGGCATATCTGTTTAGAGGCAAATTCTACTTTTAGCAGCTTTAAACGGAAGTTGCTACTGAAATAGAAATGACGTCTCTGTCTATCAAGAGCTTAGGCCTTAAAATGTTGCATTCTGAAGCCACATATGCTCCAAAGGAATCTGAGGTAAAATACAAAGATGCAGTTCTTTGCCTTTTAATCTCTTGACATGAATACATAGTATGTATCCATGTAGTATGTAAGGACACAGGGTACGTTTTGAAGATTTTTAGAGGGGCTTACTCACACAGTGGGGAGTGAGCACCTAGTCTACCTTACTTCAGTGGGTCATCTCCTGGAGTATTTTCAACCACTTTCAAAGCTGTTCATCAATTTCCACTTGTTATTTCTGCACCAGGAAGTCCGTATAATGGCCTATGGAACAAATTGCAATGAGTGTGGGAGAGATAATCCTATGTAACTGCAACAGTAAACGTGCCTCTCGCCCCTTGATCACCTCTTTGTATAAAACCCTGTCAAGGTGGTAATTACCTGCAGTTTCACCAGCAGCATATTTAACAGTATTTAGGGCCCTTTAGAGGAGAGCCTTGGCCTGATTTGTCAGTTTTCAGCGTCATGTTGAAGATGAAGGCATGCTGCTGAGCCAACAGAGACGTCAGGCCTATCTGGCCTCGTGTACTTTGAAGCAGTTTGCGAAGAGGCTCAAAAGTTGTGTATTTTTAGCTCATTCTCAAATGAAGGATGACAGTGCTTTCTTAAATGCAAATTTTTTTCTGTAAAAATATTGTTGATCTCTATGTGTGTGTTCTGCTGATATTGCTTTTAAGTGGTAACTTTAGTCTTTCACATTCCCCAGCTGATTGCCTTTTGTCGTAGATGTTGCAGAAAGCCAATAGTTTTCTGGGGACCCATTCATCAAGTCAAATACCTCTCAACGAATCAGTGAAGCTGAAGCCATGAGATAATGGGCCCCTGGGCAGGGGCATGTAAAAGGCTCCCACCTCTCCTACAGTGGAGCCGCAGACTAAAAGCAACCCAAACACTACACAGTGGTGGCCATTTCCTCTTTTGCAGTCATTTTGTGTTTCTCTGTAATTGTTCTGTGTGTCTTTGTAGTAGGGCCTATTTTTGTGACTCAGTGGTTGTTTTGCATCATCACTGTATGTGTAGTTGATTTGAGTCTTTGTAGTTATTCCATACTTTTGTCTCTTTGTGTGTCTGCAGTATTTTGTTCTGTATTCTATTATGTGCTGCTTTGTGCTTACTAGGCATTCATTTGTAGTCATTTTTACATGTCTTTAGTACCGTGTGCCTCTTTGTACAGGTAGTTGTTTTGAGCTCTTTGACAAGGTCAAAAATGACACTGAGTCTATTTTTTGTCATTTTGTGTTTGTCTTTGTGGTTGTTTTACATCTTTTTCAAGTCATTTGATTGAGTTTCAACATGAAATGGTAACAGTTACAGTCACTAACGGGTCCTGATGCCAGGGGCCCTCTAAACCCTTGGGCCCCTAGTTGATAAGTTGTTTGTGAGCGGTATCCTAACAGGAGATGGGAGCGAGAGAGAGCGCATGATAAGAAAATCCCGCACTTGACGTAGGCGAGCGTCAAATCCTTTGACAACGTGACACCCTATAGGCTGGAGGCTCGTGGACTCCGCGTGTGACAGGGAAAAAGGTTGAAGTGATGGATGTGGGGCTGGTTGGGACACGGCTGAGCTCAGTGTGGGGGATGCTCTCTGCAGCTTGCGCAGCACTGGAGATGTTTGGAAATGGTGGAGTGTCAAATGGGATCCTCGCCTTACCCACTGTGTTTAGTAATTAGCCGGGGCTCATGCACCTCTTCCACTTTGCATCCATGAACTTTTCGGTCCTCCGTGCGCTGCTGCCTTCTCCTCGCGGAAAATGAAGTCGACGCGCAGATGCAGGACTCTTATGTCGGTCAGCTTGAACTTCTTCGCCCTGTTTTTCTCCATAACGGCGTTCATAACGACCTACTGGTGCGTGGGGACCCAGAGAGTCCCCAAGCCAAAGTGCAGCAAGCTGCGGACACACCAGTGTATAGACTACGGAGTGAACGAGACGGACCCGAACAAGGTGGTGTACAGCTGGGAGACCGGGGACGACAGGTTCCTGTTCCGACAGTTCCACACCGGCATCTGGTTCTCATGCGAGGAGAATATCCACGATGAAAGTAAGAGGAGAAGGTGTGTGTGTGTGTGTGTGTGTGTGTGTGTGTGTGTGTGCGTCTGTGTCGTGTGCGTGGCTCCAAATCTATACTTTGAACAAGGAGGCTTCAGTGCGTATACTAGATTCACCTTTACCTGTAATCATCCAGGGCGCTGAAATGTTTCACTTAAGGCTATTGGAAATGAGACACAAGTGTAAGAAGTCTAGAAAAATAGTATTTCTCCTCTTTTAATAGAAGTTTATTGTGGTCATTCATCTCAAAACCCATTTATAAAATCCATTTGGGGCTGTTCTTGCTATTCTGGAACACCTAAAATTACATTTGCAGACATATGGCTGTATTATTTCCTCTTATTTCACTCCTTCCATCACAATATTTTAGGCTACAGATCATTGTTTTCATTATAAGACTGTATTTAATCCACGCCTGAGCCTGCACAAACAGTGACTAAATCACAAGCCAAATCAATAAACGTGCACCTCTGAAAATCTCCCCCTGGAGGGAGCACTTAGTTCAGTGGAGATGAGCTGCTCTTGAGCTTTTCCATTTCATGACAGCCCATGATAGTTGCCCTCCATTTATATCAGTCCATTTATAAAATTGCAAAAATCTGGAAGATGTGCTGTGTCTGGTTTTATATGACATGAACTTCAGAAAAAACAGAACTTAAAAAAGAGGCACTCACACCCCGGACTTACTGTCCTCAGAGCAGGGTGGCTGTGCAGCACTTCACAACAGGGGCAGGTTGTATTTCCTTTGTGGTGAATGATGTGTGTATTTGCTCAATTTCTTCACTCATCTGGATCATACCAGACTATTGTAAAATATTAACATAGGGCTCAAGGGGGAAGATGATTTGTGAAGGTAGGATGTGCGTCAGAACCAAAAGCATGGTCATGAAAAGTTATGTGATGGGCCAGATTAGTCCTCTCAGGTTGATTTACTGCAACTGACTCTGAAATAGTGTCCATCTTTTGAATTCAAGAAATTCTTCTCTGATATCAGCCTGTAATTATGCCAATATTAAATTGTTATATAATAGAAATTTACCACACATGGAGATGATTCAAGTAGCAAATTGGTAGCGCATGCCTATCTCATCAAGTGGCTGTAGGATGGAGGGGGGTGGCCAGACAGCTTGACTTAATAAGGATTATGTAACAGGGGCCTTGATGAGTTTTTCCTTACAACAGCTGTTGCCACACTTCTTCCACCTGATTAAAGTGATCCACTTAGAACAAATCCAGTGACGCACTCTGCTTGACCTATGACGGAGGAAAACACCACATCTGCAGGACTGTGCTCTGTCAGGTGTCAGCTTTTCATATCCTGTTGGGTAAATTCTCAGTACATGTCAGTGTGCTCACTGTTTGACTGGTTATTACAGTGCTTTTTTTGCTGAATAACATCTATTCTATCATTGTAATTCTGTGCAATGCATCTGTAATTTAATAGGACATAAAGCAGATGTTGACTGACTTTGCCAACACACCAGCTGGTTACACCAAATCAGAGGCTTCAAAAGCTGCATTTCTGACATATCATATGTCACATATGCCTCTTATTTAATATTCTGTTCACTTTTTTTAAACTTATAAACACTTAATTTTGTGTTACTGTGTGGATTCGCCTGGCAGAAGGTCTCACACCGTCTGAGCTGATCCTGTGAAACATACCTGTATGGAAACTGGGAATTAAATGCAGATTAGGACTTGAACTAAGGCCCGTATCAGTTTGACACTAAGAGCATTTTTAAAAATTTAGTTTTGTTTGTTAATCTAAAATCAGTTCCCTCTGAATCTTTTAACTTTCTCATGTCCCCCTCTGAACTTTTCCACAAACAAATGACTCACTTATTTGTGAACGGCCGTATAGAGAGTTTAGCATTATGTGCTGGATGGAGGTGCTGCCATGAAATGTGTTTAGCTAGGTCATAATGGCAGGTTTTTTCTGCTTTGTTGCCAGGTGAGAGATGCCGAAGCTTCATCGATTTGGCCCCTGCATCAGAGAAAGGTGGGTAACCATTTGCCACAACCAGGAGGTCTATCCATGATAAAAATGCTCTTCAAAAGCCCAGAAGGACACACAGGGGACTGCATAGTACAGTGTCTTCATCTAACCAAAAGGGGGTCCAAAGTAACACCCTTTCCTTTTTCCTTGCTTTAGGGGGCTCTATTGTTAAATTTTCACAGAATGCATGTGACAGTGGATGCTGTTAAACCCATTTCTAAATCTAATTATGTTAAATTCCATTGTGCTTGAAGTCTGCTTTGAAATATCAATAAGAATGGAGTCTGTGGTATTGCCGGTCGCGTTAACATCCTCACTGATCTTCCACAGACGTGGCTATAAGCAAAGAAGTGTAATGGCTTGAAGGACATTGATTTCTTCCCAAATAAATGTATCATCCATGTGAAAATTCCGAATTTCAAAATGATTATTTGTATGAGGACAATGCGGTTTCTGAAGCCAAGACCTAGCAACCAACTTAAATAGATTTTCTGAATAATTTCAGCTTTTGATGTACAGTAGTATAAATACTTGCTCAGTATCAGTTTTGGTTTGCTCTTGTAACTTCCCAGTTCTCAAATCATTAAGTACTTTTAGTTGAGAGATTATACTTTTAAACAGAAACCACGGAGACACAGAGGAAAGCTCACACATTTGGCATTAAATGCCAGCTGTGCTGACATGGTCCTTTGGGAACTGCTCATGTTCTGTCAATCTGTGAAGTGTCAGAATGACTGAAGAGCAAGAAAGACAAGAGACAGGCTAAAGATACAATGTCTGATCTTTACATGCAGCCACATTACATTTGGCTTGATTATCTGGAAAGATAAATACAGTTTGTTATAGACTGGAGAGTGTTCACTTCAGGAAATGTTAACACCTGACCCTGTTAGCTGTCTGAGGAACCACTGAGATGTTGGATTAAAGTGAAATCGAACCTATACACATACAGTGGTGTTAACTGGTTTGACAAAATATGCTACATAAAATTAATTCATTAACAAATGCTTTCCAAATGGCTGACTAGTGACAGTGAAACTATTTGAGATTAATGCACACAAGGAATAAAAATGTAATAACAAAACCAATAAAATGAAACAGAGATATAAGAGAGTAAATAATCAAGTGTCCCTGGTACGCTAGTGGTTAAGGTGCAGCGCTCTCACCGCTGCAGCCCGGGTTCGAATCAGAGTTGCGTCAGAAAGGGCATCCAGTGTAAAACACGTGCCAAATGTCAACATGCAAATTGTCAGTGTGACGATTCGCTGTGGTGACCCCTAAACGGGAAAAGCCGAAAGTGACTTTCTAAATAATGAAGTATCAAGTGATTTTCTCACAGTACTTTGATTTGATGTAATGTTTTAATCGAATCTCCCGGGTTCGCAGGGATGCTGTGGCTGTCGCTGGTTTCGGAGATGTTGTACATCATTCTGCTGGTGGTGGGCTTCAGCCTCATGTGTTTGGAGCTGGTCCACTCCAGCAGCATCATCGATGGACTCAAGCTCAATGCCTTCGCTGCCGTCTTCACAGTGCTCTCTGGTAGCTCAGGTTTACTTATTATAAGCTGGTGTGCCTGTGAGAGTGTTTTCAGTTTTTTATAACTAGCTATGTAGGCAGTTCAAAAGCCCTTTATGAATAGATTAAAATCAAGGACCGTGACGTCGCCCGGCATGGCGCAGCCGGGGCCCCACCCTGGAGCCAGGCCCGG